ACTCGAGACCAATTTTCATTGCATTCTTCTCCGCATCCTGTTTATTTAGAACTTTTTTTATTGCTTCTTTCGAAAATTTGCGTAAAAAATTTTATTAGAGTTTTATCAGACTCTATCATTGGAGAGCGGCCATTCCAGTGTGAAGCTAGCCTTGGTACTTACTATTGTGCAAATCCACACAATGCCTCCAGCAGCACATCCGATTCAGTAACCATTTGAAACCCTTTCTTCTGTCACTAAGCCTAGGCCCATTATGAAGTGTTGACTGTTCAAGTTTCCAGGATCTTACACTCCAGCCTACGTAGCAGTAAGATGCTCCCCCTCTTCCCAAAGCACAAACTCTCAGTTTCTGTCTCTAGTAACTGTAGTGTAGTAAAACCTGTCAATAGTTATACCCCTGAAGTACTAGAGTCAAGCAACTTACATCGCCTCGTCGTCGGGATCTGTAGCAGAAACGCTGATCACCGCCGAGCCTACGGGAGCAGTCTCCAAGACGGTTGCATCGTATTGCGTACGTTCAAACATAGGCGGATTGTCGTTTTTGTCCAGCACTTTTATGGTTACGTTGGCAGCACCTGAAAAACGTGGAAAATCGAAATCGGAACCGAGGCAGAAATAAAATCCCTCAACCGAATTGATCACTAAACAAAACAGTGAGCCTACTATTGGTTCCTTAGGCTTTATCTTTTTTCGGAATTGTTATAATAGTAATCTCATATATTTCAAAGTGTCAAACCTTCACGTGGCGGTGTTCCGTGGTCAGTGGCACGAACTTCAATGACAAATTCACGTTCCGATGGCAGTTCTCGATCCAGAGCTCGCTAAAATCCAAATCCAAAAATAGAAGTTCTATGTGGAGCCATACTAGCAAATATGATACCATGGCAAAAATCTTTCCAGAGCTGGGATCGATCCGGAAAACAGGCTGCCCATTGATCTCCTTATTCAATACGATACTGTACGCAAGACGGGCATTATCACTGGTAGGATCGTCATAGTCAGTAGCTCGTACATCCATAAAGTATACACCATCACGTGCTTAAACATTTACTGTCATTGAATTTACGATATCATATTGACCACTTTAGACTTTTTACTTATCATTGAACATTGCCGTAATAAAATTTATTTTCAAAAGGGTTCACACAGGGTTGGCTCAGAGGGTACAACCACAAAGAAATTATTTTTGATACAGATTAACTTTGAAACGAGTGGTGCGCACCGTTAGTGCCAATAAGCTCAACGTAGAACTTTCGTGCCGTTTTTTTTCCCTCAAAGGGGCATGCAATATCTAAAGTTAGACCAATTCGCTGATTTTATTCTTTTACGGGCTCAACTGACGGAATACAGTCCCTTGTGCCCTCTTTCCCCAGGCCCGATCTCTTTTGGGCTGTTGACTTCCTGTCTGGAAACAAGCTTACGAGCGAGGGTGAAGTTAGCGAAAAAGTCCACAACCGCTTCAAGGCCCAACCTCATACTCAGGATGTAGGAATCTCCAGGCTACAGTAACTTTGGCGACAAATGGTGTACCTGATCAATATACGCCGTACACTTGATCCGCCAGCAAAAATGCAGAACGGATAACTCTTCACTGAGGAATCGTAATTATGGAAAACTCACATTGCGGTTGACGATTTTCCTCCACGTAGCCATACAGATCGTCGGCAAAAATAGGAGCATTGTCGTTGATGTCTTTCAAATTCACCTTAATATTTCATAATTCAATGAAAGCTAAAATTCATTAGCGACTATGATCATAATGAAGATCTGAATCTACTCATGAGTGCACAAAAACCTGATATTATATGCAAATGCTAATATATTGAGAACAATCTGATTTTTACATCATGCCTTTAGTCAACAAAACCTCTTGAAAACTAACACATAAGTGAAGCCGACTGGCAAATGTGTTATTTGTGTTACTCGTAACCTACATAAACGCCCAACATTTTTTTAAGAAAAATTGAACTGTAAGGGAATAATCTGGTGATCCAGGGAGATTTTCAATTCGTAATAAATGATACCATTCAATATTTTCGAGCATACCTGTACATCAGCATAACCAATCAAACCACGGCCATCGTCATCAATAGCTTGAACAATGAAATTCCACGAAGGAACACCATTTGGTGGATCACGATCCAAAGCCTGAAGTGGATGACACTGCTAGAAAGATCAAACAAGGGAATGGAAGGCAAAGATTAACAAAAAAAAAGATAAAAATGCGTTATCAAGCCAAGTTGACTGACCTTCATAAGTTCTATTTCACCCGTCTCACGACCGATTTTGAAGAATTCACCAGCACCTTGTCCTTCCAGTAAGTAAATAATGCGCCGACTCTTCTCATCCTGGAAAAGGTGGTTTTTGCAGAAGGGCAAGACCAAAAAATTTTATTGGGACTTGCACAGCTTAAACCATAATGCCTCCTACAGTTGTACTATAGAGGTGTTAGAAATTGAATACCCAATCAAGCAGTACACTGGGTTATACTCAGAGTACTTTAATTCAAGGAGTGGAATAGAAATTGGTTGCTCCGGAACACTCGCATACCTTGTCCGCATCGGTTGCCTTCACATGGAAAAGGACTTTTGGTATATCAGGGTCCTCCTCAAGAATTGTTGTCGAGTAGCTTGGCTGAACAAGGCGCAATGTTTCGCTAGTTAAGTTTCTAGTTAAGTCCCTCTTAATTTCGCAAAATAACCACCTGTTCAAAGACGGGTGCGTTGTCGTTAACATCTTCAACGTAGATGAACACATCGGTAGAGGCATTGTGGCGACCGTCAGAGACCAGTAGCCGTAGGTGATAAACCGATTCTTGTTCATAATCGAGAGGTTCCTGAAAGTAATTCTGTGAAGTAATGGCATAAATATGAACGCGAAGAGCGTGAAAATAGGGTACCTGGTACTACATGGCACCTTAACATCAATCTTCAAATTATCAGAAAAGTTTTGGTAGAAAATTTTCATACCTTAACAAAAATCGCCCCACTATCCGTTCGGGCACCAAATGGAATCCGGCCACCTTGAGCTGCTACCACATCGTAACGCAAAGTGGAATCTGAATTAAGCAAATTAATCGATTTCTGTGAGATTTTAACCTGAGATTTTTCCATGCGTATGAGAGAAGGCTCAATAGGAAATATACCGTTATGATTAAAGAAATTACTTTAAAACATTCGTAACGATTTCCACCTTATTACAGTCACGGTATAACATGTTCACTAACGACAGAAAGTTTTGCTCATTTTTGGAACTTCTACTGGCCTGCTGTATGAAATTCCCGCCTCTTATCATCTTTATATGGAGACCGCTTTTTGTTTAGGATTCAGTGACTGGACCCTTTCTAGTCTACGACCAAAGCTGCTTAGCTCTCAGGTTGAATCGTCTACCACAAGCCAATGGCTGCTTTCATACTTCAACGACCGACGGCGCTCGCCGCCCACGTGGGGACAACACTTGCCAGTTGAACGCAGTCTGTCTAGTGTGGTCACCACGTGGCCGTCGGTCGGTCGGCCGATTCTGGAAGCAGCCAGCGGAACAAACATTGCCATTGAAATACAGAATAAATAAACTGAATATGGAACCCAAAGATAAACAAAGTAAAGATGAACTGACGTTTATCCAAATCATGCGCTTTGACGGTGATGATGTCATGACCGGGATCAGCATTCTCTAGCACCTTCCCTATGTATTTTGGCTCATCGAATGACGGTGCGTTGTCGTTGACGTCACCAATCACAATTTGAACTTTTACATTGTCTAAATCTCGTAATTTTATTTGAACATGTCAATAATGAAGGAGGATCTCAATAAATGAAGAAAGGATCTGCGAACAGTACTTACTAAGTTACTAAGCGGTAGGCAACAGCTTTTCACAAGCCTCAAACACAAGAGTACCAGTCAATCAAGTAGAAAGTAAAAAGTTTTCTAGCAGCGTCAAAGCTGATAACACATTTCACCCCAGTTTACATCCCATTTCTACTATCTTTGACAGTTAATCAATTTAAAAAGGAACTATTCGGAAAGATGTTAACCTTTGTTTGGACCAACTGCCCCTGGTAGAGCCGAAGGTAAGTTGTCACGAGCTTCTACAGTAAGAATGTACATGTCCTTCTGCTCTCGGTCAAACTTGGCATTTGGCCAAATCTCTCCAGTCAGCTCGTCGATACGAAAAAGTTGTGCTCCCATTGGGTCGGGTACATCGAGAATTCGGTAATGCACCTGTAATTTGAGCCATGATCGAAAGTAACTTATTTCATCGTTCAAGACCATGTTGTAGATTTGCTTTCGTGAAGAGGATTTATTATAGCGTAATGTGCTTTTTCCTTATTTGTTTTGAAATGTAATAACCAAAAGTCTGTAAAAGCCGCTCATCTATCAACTTGAACAGTACCTCACTTCCAACGTATTGTTTTTTACAGATTTTTGTTAGTTGCGACTCCAGAAGTAAAAAAACATTTTTTCAAGCAAGGCTCGCATGAAATCTTGAAAAAAAAGTAAATCTTCAACACCAAACAGCTTACTTCATTCTGTGGGCCGTCAGAGTCCGTATCGACAGCCTTCACGCTAGTGATCGGTTTACGTTCAAATCTGAAGTGGATTCAATTAATCCTTGTGAAATTAGGACCAGCCAGCTGGCGAAATACTTGGTGTCTGTCAGCAAAAAAGAATCATTGATTTCCCGCTACTTAGCTATAAAAATCTAAATCTCACTTTTCCATGTATTCAGCTGGTGTAAGCTCCTCGTCGACAGTTCCTGTGAACAGGTCTACTGTAAATTGCGGTACAACATCGTTCACATCCTTTACAAGAACCGTGATTATGCGTGATGAAGATACATGAGAATTCACGTCCTGAAATTGTGAAATCCAGTGCTGCGCGAATACCGTGTAAATGATCAAATACCGTGGCGGTGAGAGTGAGCGTATAGTTCTGAGCTTGTTCGTAGTCCAGCGGTTCCATGATAACAACTTCGACCCATTCTCTTCCGTCTTCGATCTTGTTGAATTGACGGAATTTCGCATCAGCTTTACCTGGTCGTATAACACCGCCATTGCTCAACCTAAAACGCATGGCTTATTCTGGTGAAAACAATTCGCGACTTCTACAACTTCAGGAATTAGCTCGAATAAATCGAAAATAGAAATTGCTGAAGGACGCTTTCTGCAATAAAAAACTGTAGTAACTTCAGCGGTTATGACAGATTTGCTTATGGATGAGTAGACAGGTCTCGCACCTATCAATATCGATGAGGCGATGGCGACACGCAAAGGAAGAGGAAATGAAAATCTGTAGAGTTAGTAGAAGAGATGAAGCGAGAAATGCAGGCAGTCAGCAAACGCGATTAACTCGCTTCAGCATGTTTGGGCATAAAATGAAGAGAGAATGGAGGAAGAAGAGAAGCAGAGATAGAGAAAAAGAAAATATGATCGAGGGAAAAGGGGAATAATGCACCATAATTCTAATAAAAAGCTCGAAAAAAATTTCCCTGTTGCTATTATATAAGATAACTTAGTATGAGGAAATCAAATTCGTCAGGATAAGGAGGTGATATTGAAATATCCAGACACATGAACCCTTTGAAAATTTGAGGAATTCTTACTTCCAAATTTTTTCGTTAAGTTTTGATTCTGATTATTTCAACTGGATTGGCTAGTGTAGTAGTGGAATCCAACTATGGCGATATCCTCAGAGATCAGATCGGTATATACCCTCTCGCGGAAAAGGTGGGCGCAAAGATTGGCACATTCATTGACAGCTTTCAGGATTTCATGAGAAGAAATCAAGAAAGGAGCGAGTGGCTACCGCTAAAATGTAGCAATGCTTTCCAAGAAGAGCATTCACATCGAGTCGCTCAACTGCTTCAGCTGCTTACTTGGGAGGCACCACAAAGAATTAGATAGCATTGAATGAAGACACACGTAACAATAGAGATTAAATATGATAAAAGCATGATTCAACGATTACAAGCAAAGTCACAATCAGTACTTTGCACCATATAAGGACAAGCCGTTACACCATTAAGCGCATTAGTCGATAGGGGAAAGACTTATGAGGAGCAGTAAGAAAATCCACTGGACTTTCATTAAGATGCACGACGTTAAGAGACAATTAAGTACGAGAGACAGCCGGTGGACTAATATTAAAAGGTTTACAAAACAGATTTGAAAAAAAAANAAAAAAAAATCAGACACAAAAAATCAAATTCACAAAACTCATCAGAGTTTTGCAGTTTGAAAAAGAAACGTAACAAGTCAAGTTGTAATGCATGCTCAAAACTCACTTATAGACTATAGAGCTCTTCGATCCGTCCCCTGCTATAGCTCGACAACGTAGAAGGACCTTGTTCATCTGCAAATGGATAAAAATTCTGATCGGATATAGTTATAAATTAGGAACAGTTTCCGACCAGCTACTTTTCAGTTCAAACTGATAGCGCTTCTGTACGAATATGGATAATTAAGAAGAAAAAGCCACTCTACATACCTCGCCATTCTCAACTACTGTGACTTCGTTCTTACAGTCGGGACTCGTCTGCCAACGAGGAGCCGATTGCTGTTTCTCATGAACTTTAATCGTTACCTGAATGTTACCGCGATTGGCTTCCCTTTCGTAAATAAGAGAGAGGATATGATAGTGGAAGTAGACCGTTCTTACCTGAACGGTTGAGCGTTGAGCTTCCGGAATACCATTATCGTCGGCGATCACGTTGAAGATAAACTTGTCCTTCTGAAAACGAAATTTTTGTGTTTCAGAAGTAGGATACTTCTACATTGGCATCTTTTTGGGGTACCCTTTTTTGTGCAACGAAATCGAATCTTCGAGTATAGTCAAGTGAGAAGGCGCCCAATAGGAGAGGAGAGGGAAAGGGGAGGGGTGGTGATCGTTTTAGGTCAAGATACGGTAATACGTGGTTTTCTTAGTGTCCGTGCCGTGCGTATGACGACTATTCCCACTAATCTAAAGGTTTTAAATTAGCAATAACATTGACTAAATATTTCCATAAGCTTCTCCCACCTTTTCTTTCATGGTAAATCTTAAATAGTACTCTAAGCAGCCAAAAAAGCACTCAGTGACAGTATGACATGGAGCCGTTTTGCTACAGCAGACATCAAAATTGTTTTAGAAACCGACACACTGATTTCAGAAAGACATTTTCGAAGCTTGTTCGTCAAATATGAATAAACTACAATAGAAAAGTGTATCAAAAGAGAGGAAATACCTGATCTCTTGGTATTGACTTGACAAGTGTTATCTCTCCTGAATGCTCATTTAGAATCTTGAAAAAGCTTGTGTCATTTAGATGTTCGTCTCCTATAATAGAAGAGATTGAACGGACCAAAATGAACGCCAACTGAATCCATGATGAAAATCAGAGAAATCAAGCGAAACAGACCAGCCGATGGATCCGCCTCAAGGTGATAAGTGACATTGGCATTATGTGGAGCATCTGTGTCGAATGCGAAAACCGTGAGGATTGATGTGCTAAAAGATTCTTGTTATTCGATTGCAAACTAATCAAAATAAATCTGATGGTAAGAGTAAAAAATATCTGAATGTAAAAATTATTTAAGCTTTCGAATACGTCCTAAATGAGTTGTAGCTCCGTACATAATAAATTAGGGGAATAGCAAATACATGGTTAGATTCCGCAACATCATTCGCAACAGAAGCAGCAATGATTAAAAGAGTACTGATGAAATAGATTAAAACCAGATATAACGTGGTCGAGACGTCTGGATTGAGCAGAGGACAATTATATTCAAAGCTTAAAAAAGAATAAAAACTCAGGAGATACTTAAATAGGCGGGCCCATTTCGCACCGAGCGCTAGTGTGTGGAGACGGAGGGATTATCCTACTGGATTACCCTATTAAAATTTTCTTTTCTCCGCTCAAGCTCAAAATAAAATGTTTAAAAGATCTAAACATTTACCCGACAGCCTCACTCCTCGATATACTTGTTTCATATGAGGCTCGATCAAATTGTGGAGCGTTGTCGTTGACGTCGACTACCTCGATCGAGAACTGACAGAACCCGATCAATGGGCGATCACCTCGATCGGTGGCCTGGAAATGTTGCACGTAACAGGTTCGTAAAGTGTTATAGAAAATTACGATTGGTTCAAGTCACAAAGGGTAACGGTGTTCATTTCAACAATTTCCACCTTGTCCTTTGGGCGGAGTTAGGAGTGGGTTGAGGGTTTGAATGTTTGCCTGGCTCCGTACGGACACGAATCATTATTTGATGTACTAATTGAGTAAATGATTCTAATTGATAAACAAAGAAGTCCAAACGGTGAGATCTCAGAGACATCTGGCTATCTCAAATATTGGGAATCTACCCAGTTTAGTCATAGTGACCCCCCCCCCCCCCCCCCCCCCCCCACTGTAAAACGAATGATTATTTGCTGTGACTCCCTCATGCTCATGAACACATTACTTTGAAGAGGATTGTATGGAAATCACACAAGTAATCATTCACGTGACAATGATGATTGTAATGTGTGGCTAATCTGACAATGAGTAGATCTCAACATTAAGAGTCGAGCTAAGTCAGCTCATGAAGACAACTTTGTCCAATAATTGCCACTGAATCAACTAGTCAGTCAAGTCACGATTTGTACTCGCAATTTGGGGCCAAAAAGGTGTCAGCAAGTCATCCTTGAGAACGGGTTCAAATGTAGTAGCGAAACTGTTGCCTCACCTTTACAGTTACATCCTCCCTTGGACGAGTCTCTCGATCAAAAATGACATGAGGTGAGGGTGTGAGAACACCGGTCAACTTGTCGATGACAAATGGTTTCCTTGATTCGCTTTGCGCGTAGTACAGCGAGTAGACGATTTGACCATTTGATGAGGAATCCTCGTCGGTTGCTTCAACCTGCAAATCACAATGTGATATCAAATAGTATAACAGATATTCAAAGAGAGTGTTTGCTAAAGCAGTTCATGTACCAGTCAACAATCCATTCTTTTGGAATTGATGAGACAGTAGCAGTGACAAAAGAAAGAAGAATTCTGTCAAAAGTCCGGAAATTTTTCACTATAAACTTCAAAGGATGAGGAACTGCAAGTATAGCGCCTGCGATTCGTTTTACTAGCGTTTTGAATAGGGTAGCGGCCAATGGAGAACTCATGACATAAAGAATTGCCAATTTTGGGACAACACATATCTGGAAATTTAAATTCGAGGCGAACTTTGGAAGGCTCTTGGACTCAGATTCCCACTGTAGTCAAAAACGAGATGACTTCCTATCTTCGTCTCATCAGGTGACGGAACAGAATAAATCCATGATCCTCAGGTGGTTCGTATATGGTACAGCTAGTGTGAGCGGAGTTAACCGTCTTCATGAAGGCAATACACTTACATAGCCTTCTCGTGCCACACAATGAAATGTAAAACAGAAAACTATGTGGGCGCCCTCGTAGCTGAGGAAAAAATGGAAAATCTTCTCTCGCTTTTTGTTGTCCAGTGCTGGATGCGCCATGAACAACACCGCCTTTATCTTTGCACTTTTTTTGCAAGTTTTTTGTTTCGGTGTTTTTTTAAGGGCTTCCTGTATTTTTGACTAATACAGGACTTTTTCTTCTTACTGCTGCCCTTGCCCAAGAGGCAAAGGACTGCAGTAAAAACCACAATCTAGACTCTTTGCGTCAAACGACTATTTCATGACGTGCACCACCAATTAAGGGTCTTCCAACCGAACAGTCTTACAATCGCTAAAATAAGCCAATACAGGTCGAAAATGGTGATGAAGCAGATTCAAAGATACGTGGTAGAGCCTAGAACCCTAGATCATTCTTACCGTTCAAATCTTTTTCACTCAGAAGTTATGCCTATGGCACAGCTTTAGTACTTTTCAAACACCCCCTGATTGTGATTTTCACCATTGCGCACCTCACTGGTTTTAAGATACTTCAGTGTAATAAAACTAGCCTTGATAATAGTAGGTGGATTCTTTTTGTAGACACCTTCTTGAATTTTCGCCAATTCTCCATAACTGGCACAATCGCGAAACTCTGGCTTGTTGTTGTTGACGTCCTCGATGCCTTAAATACATATTAACTTCTTTTGTAGATGACACGACAATTAAATGAAAATGAAGGGCAAAGAACATTGCCTAGTAAATTTGTTCAGGGTGAGTCACGCACTTTCCTTCTATTTACATGGTGGAAACAATTAAAGGCGTATCGGATCTCACTGGTTGTACAAGAATCAATCAATCGTTCTAATCGTTGAATAATTGCTCTACAGCGTAGTAATCAAACCACCTAACGAACACCGCTGAGGTAACTACCGAACACCGGAAAAGGTCAACATGGGTGAGATAGAGATTCGATCGTGCGAGCTGTGTGCCGGTTAGTCGCCGCCCTACACCATTGCGCCACAGCAAATACCATCGGAAGAGCACTATCGCTATAAAAACTTAATATAGACAGCCAATTAACCTATTAGTACTGTGGCTAAAGCTGTATGCCTAGGCGATTTTGTGGAGCAGCATGATCCATCATCACGAGCGATTACTGTCAGGTTATAAGGAGAGCCATTTCGAAGTAGATCAGTGGCTTGAACTCCTGGTCGAAGTTTGATTAAACCTGAAAATGTAAAAAATATAAAAAATGCTCATCAACTATATTTAGCGCACATAAATTATTTATTTTCAATTTCAATTTTATTTATTTTAATTTTAAAAAATTTTGGAATAAGAATAAATGCCGTATCTCTTCGTCCCATAAAAGAGCAACCAGACACAGCCAAAGACCCTATCCCTTTTGAGATATTGCACATCTGTATTATCAATAGGATCCCTGACTTTTGTTTCCCAAAGTGGATCGTTTATTCTTGTTGAAAGGTAGAAGTAAAAGTTCTGACTTTACTTGTTTTTTTCAACTCTCTTACATTTTTTAAAAACTATAAAATGAAAGGCAAGTTCAAAAAAGCTACGGCTTGAACAACAGCGATCCCTGTCCCCCTAATTCCGACTAAATTCAAAATTTTGCTTCAAATTCCTCTCTTGTTGTAACCTCGGCATAACACTTTATGTTATAATGAAGTAGAATTTTTTTATGAGAATTTCAGTGAAAAATCTGAAATCGAGCTTCATAACGCTGTCGACTCACCAGTGTCCTTGTCGATGTGGAACAACTTTGTTTCGTAAGTTTCAATCCCTGCTCCATCCACAAACGCATATTCGACCTGGTCTCGATCCGGATCTCGTGCCTGGAACAGTTATTATCCTAGATATCCAGAAATCCTGGAATATGGGAATGGTAGGCTCCATTGCTGTGGAACCAATAGATAGCTTAGCTCCAAGAACTAAACTGAAAATACCAGCATGAAGGAATCTCTCGAAACATACCGTTGGAGCGAAATCTACACAAAAAAGAGCATGGTCTCAGAAAGGGAAACAAAGTCAAGCCACTCCAACGAACACACAGGCAGCTATGGGATAGGGAATACCTCATTTATATCTAGTTTCGTGCAAATGGTGTTTACTTTATTACCACCATAGCGCCTGCTCCTGTGACTGACTATCTTCGTCCATTTCTGACAAAAATTGCCTTGCGCTGCGGTTACCATAGAAGCTGTCATTTTAAGCCATAAGAGATCATATCAATTGATGTCATGACAGTTGTAAGCTCAACTTCCACAAAAGCAAAAGCGACGAATATAAGGTCACTTATAGAATCTTAACTGAAGGCGTGTTGAGAAACTTTCTTGTTTTATATCGAAGATATCGTCTCCTGAAGACCGCAAAAATCCTCCTAATCATTTGAAAAAAAACATTTTAAGTTGAACAGGAATTCTTTACAGCCGATGAACGTCTACGCAACCCTTAATCCCTCTTTTGGAACTCTTTTTAATGAAATTGGAAATTCTCACCCATGGGGAAGTGGTTTCTTAGAGTGAGAGTGGAACAGTAATAAAGGCTGTCTCCATATTCACCCGGAGACGAAAGTTTTCAAAGTGCACCGTCGGTTCCGTTATAAATTTAGTTGGCTGTGCTACACCGCACTAATTCCCTTATCGCTCAACTGTCATATTTTTCATCCGACTTTGCAGGACAGTAAATGAGATGTTTTTCAATGCGGTGCCAGCAATACGTAATGGCTCAAGTTGTGTTGTTGGTTACCATTTTTATACCGACTAGTTTCATTAAATATTCACTATTCTTAATAAAACAATGAAAATCAATAAAATTATATTATATTAAGTTAAATTATATTATATATTGATTATAAAATTATTAAATTTTTATTAAATCAAAATTTTCCGCTGAGTTCCAAGATAACTTTGTCAAACTGTACATAATAGTTTACAAACTCATGATGTTACCGCAGTTGGGCTTGCGAGGACGTTTACTCCATGGATACAAAAGGTATGAAAAATGATTGGATATGATTGCGGAAAAAAGTGAATTAATTTCTTACACGAGAAAAATGTCATAGTCCGTCTCCAAGTGAAAAATACGACCTGTATAAATTTAACACTTCTATCGAAATAAGCTCGCAGAAATAATTATCGCTAGAGCGCGCGCAAAATCGATAGGTATCTCGGAGAACCTGCACTACATATTAAGTGCTGCTACCGCATTCAACGCGTTGGGGTTCATAGCTATAGCGTTCTGCACAACGAGTGGAGTAGATTGCATAGCTCATTGTGGAACATCAGAGCGGTTGAACAAATAATAATCAAAACAAGAACAATACAAATTCGGAGAATCGTTCACCTGAATTTGAACGACCGGTGTTCCGCCTTGAGCGTCTTCGGCCACATAGGCGGTATAGTGCCGAGTTGGGAAGAACACAGGCGCTTCGTCATTGGTGTTTTCTGTCCGAATATGCACCTAAAAGTAAAAATATTCAATGGTTGCACATTCGGTTCATTTGAATTCTGAGAAAGTAAACAGCATTTAAAATTAACACATAAGATCGTAAACATGACTGAGGATCAAAGCTCTGGAAGCTAAATTTACCGTTGCATTCGAACTTAGCGGTGGATTTCCAAAGTCAGTGGCGGTGACATTGAATCGATAGATGAAGAAACGTTCTTTGAACTGATCAGCATCCAATCGATTCTTAAGAAATTATGGTCAAATAAAATCCAATTTTTGCAAAGATAGAATCACTAAAAACAATGTTTGAAGGAAAGTCAACAACTGCAAGCCCATATGTAATTCTGTTGCTCACAGGGGCAGGCGCTACCAAGTAAGGTCACTTACTTAAAGATGGCATCATCCATGCCATACGATTAACTAAATAGGAAGAAAAAATGCTTAAAAACGGCTGGAAATAAGGCAAACGACGCTACCTAAAAGATTCGGTCAACAAGGGAAACGATAGATTCTCTTGCTCGCTCTGGTGACAGATGGTTCACCTACTGGCAAGAAAAGGGCATTTGCCTTCGGAAAATTGGCAGCAATTTTGAAAGGAAAAGCGCATGAGATTGACGAAAGCGTTAACGTCGAGATGAATACAAATAAGGACACAATACTTGGAAATTCGAATCGGGAAACACATAAGGAAAGCATAGATCGCAATCTGATAAAAAAATGTTTGTGGAAACCGTCTTTTGTAAGATTAATAAATACCCGGCTCTGACTTCACATCTGTCTACCTTACAACTAGAAAAGAGGAAATCGGAAATCGTGTGCTAGTCGTACGTTGATAAAGGAAATCTTAACTTCTCAACTACTACTGTAACTGATGTAATATAATAAATGGAAACATAAAAGTCAAAAATGATTTTACCTTAGCCGAGATTTCTCCCAGATCATTGATCGTAAAGTTGTCGTTGTCAACCGAATACTTCACTCTGGCATTATCGCCAGAATCCTTATCCTCTGTTCTAACTAAAAAAAGACTGATCATTTTATTAGCATCATAAGAACCGCAGGAAGACCTCATTTCCACGATCAATCGCGCAAACCGTAATATACTGTGGTCTATTGTCAACCAGCCGGAAGGTGGTCTGATAAGAATTATAAAATGTTCAAGACAAGTTACTTTTCGTATTGATGAGAAAAAAAGAGACGCACAAATCAGTTGAAATATGGCAAAAAAAGTGTGGGACTTCTCTGAACCCTTCTCTACAGTCTTCTTTCAACGGTAAAAACACGGAAGCTAGGAGGCTATAACTGGGCGCGATGGAGGTACACCACCAAATGATCGAAAAAAGCTGTAAACTCCAAGACACAGAAGGTCTAACCATCCCCCCGACCCATAAATATGACTCAAGCGCATGGCTATACAAGACAGTGACTATTTTACTTTTAGATCTATATAGCGTACCTGTAAGAATAGGCTTCCCAATATCGAAGTCTTCTCGGACCTGAGTTGTATACAATGGACGGCTGAATACTGGAGCATTGTCATTGACGTCGGCGATTTGCACGTCCACCGTTACACTCGATTCTTTGTCATCTTCGTTGGCAATGACTTAAACAAGGATGTTTTTCAAAGCTACTTGTGAATTGATTGATCGCTAGTGAGTCAGAGTTTAGTCACCTCGATGCAGTTATTTGCGGTTTCAGAGAATCTCTCTCACTTACGAAGTTCTCTGACAATTTTGTTAAAATTTTGTTAGAGTGGGTTGCACATATAAGCACCCATTCAAAGACGTGTCTTGATCCTATCGTTCAGTAGCGCTAGAGGTTCGCCAGTTACAATAGCAATAAATGACAGATAGTTAGAAATATCATCGAAACAATTTTATGAAGTCTTCCTTCATTTTTCCCGGTCACAGAGAAAAAACGCCCTTACTTCGTGCTCAGCTTTTTTCAGAAACATTGGCAGAGATTCAATACACATTCAAACATCTCGGTGACTTTGGTTGGGAGGCGTGTGTGACCCAACTCCGAAACCGCAACCAACACGATAATTCAATCCTCTCCCACCCTCGCTTACTAGTAAGCCCACAATGAGCCGATAAGCACTGAAAGCTTCCCGAGCCACGAGCAGCATGCCTATCAAAGTGCAACGCTTGAATGACACACGACAGTGTCATCTACTCCCGCTGTGATGGATGTGGTCCCCAGACGCCCTTTAACCTCCCCTCGATTCACCTCCGGCATATAATCAAAACAGAACTAATCCCATGATAAGACGGGATCATTTTCCTTGAGCTTCCTCGGGTCATNCGTCGGCCAGTCTTTGAGGTTACGTAACCGGGACAGCTGTTACAAAACCTTGCATATAAATCAGTACGGATCATCCTCATGGCTAATAAGTCGTTGATGACTCATGAGAGCGGTAACGATATTAGTAGGGATGAAGACGGATAATCTGACGCCTAATGAAGTCCGTCGCGCAGTTAAGTGTCCAGATCTCGTTACTTAGGTGATCCCTGCTAACATCATTCTCATCCCCTGAGATGCACGCCTCAATCCAGATAAGGTCATCACAGGGTTTAATTAAACAAAGGAAATTGGATGAGAAAGGCGCTGTTACGGATTGATTGGGCTTGCACCAAAGAAGATGCGACGAACCGATGAGTTTATGTAGTTTGGGCTGTGATGGATCGTCGTAGTCCAGTAGTCGTCTGAGATGAATGACACCGGTTTTTGGATCGATGCCGAACATTGAAGTAGGTTCACGTTGGCCACCATGCTGACTCCATACCGAGTAGATGAGCTCGCCTTTTGAGCGCCGATCGTCGATAGCTCGAAAGCGATGAGCTCTAACGTCGACGACACTGAAAATGGAAGGTTTAACTTGAAAATGATGCTGAATCAGTGCTCCAAATGCAATCTCTCATTAAAAACAATAATAGAAAAGTCAGATAATCTGACAAGGTGCTGCAGTAGAAGAAACGGGCGCTCAGAAGATCGAAATGAAAAAAGGGGAGGTGAAGAAAAGAAAATGAAAATCAGAAGGATTCAGAAAGCTCATCATATGGCTTCCATAAAAAGTATTACTTTCAGTTCAAGTTTCTCTAAACTCCGATTGTAAATTGAGTACATAACGCACACTGTGAACTGCAAACCACAATCTTCCACAGCTAATAAAGTACCGGGGGCTCAATGAAATGGAACATTACTATGTCCCCTCAGATTACCCGGAAAGCAGCGTCTGCCCCATCGCTAGGACGAGGGAAGCAGACGAAAGCGGTATTTCACTGAGTAATGAATACCAGACTTGTTTAATCCCCTTCTGATCTTTTTCATGAAGTCTATCACTCGAACCGACATTCGGGGAAGGCAAGTCACAAACTGTCATTTGTAAAAGTTAGTTCAGATGGTACTTTACGCGCATGACCGCTTGCTAGCTTTTACGAATGACAGTCTGTGCCTTGCCTAAATCCACACCGCACAATTGAACAACCCTCAAGATCATCAATTCCTCCATTAACAAAATGACTTATTTCTATGCTCAATCATTCGTGCTTAACTTAGCTGATTCTCAAGCTCTATATATCCTACCTGTAGTCAACAAGAGTGTCTTCAGGCAAGGAAACAGTGTAGTGCTGTTGAAGAAACTGAGGTGGCCGATCACCCGCAAGAATTTCCAGTTTTGCTACTTCCGACACCTAAATCCGCTTGTAACTTCGTGACAAAATTAAAAATAACTTCCAAACAAACCTGTTTCGTGGAGTTGTCCGAGGGTGTTTTATCAACCGCTTGGACAAGCACTCGATAGGTTTGTCCTTCTCTATACTGCCGCACGGCTGTACGCACTACGCCTGTGTTTGTGTCCACCGTGAACATTCCAGGAGCTTAAAAACCATAATCAAATATGAATCGGCAACAGATGGCAAAAGCGATCACATGAAATCAACCATATCAAAATAGAATTTTATGGAAAGGTTGTCAAAACATAATTGAAATTCGGTTCAGGAGCCGGGAAAATTAAAATTCAGTTCCCATTGAGGGTGAATAAGTATGGACTACTAAATGGGTTTTTGAAAAAGAATAACCGGAGAATGAAAGACCAAAACGAAAATACCAAAAAAAAACACATGCATGAATCAGATTTTTTTGAATTTTTCAACACTCACGCTCCGTGTTAATCAATCGGTACTCGACATCATCGTCTCCATCTCCTCCTTCGTCGCGAGCCACAAACTAAATAATATCTTCATGCACTTAATCTTACAATCGACAGCAATAGCTGAATTGATTTTTCAAAATTCATTACCGTATCTAGATGAGTAAAGGGCACTATTGAAGCCATATAGGTTTATGACCACGTTCTAAGAATTTCATTTATCATGAGAAGCACGCACTGAGGCACGCAAAAAATTGGAGGCTCCTATCTCAAAAGCTTCCGCGGAATGACAAGTAACTCTTGCAAATCTACTGCACCACAGAAATAGATAAAGTACAAGAGTGATGAGAAGAAAAAACCCGAAAAGTTCCACTAAGTAAGATCAGCAAATCCATTAATTTTTCTCCGCAATTTGTTTACTCCATCGACCATTTTCACAACTGCCTGAGAAAGCGATTTGAAAGGGTTTATCAAGGTAAAAGCCTGAATGGAATATCATCTAGACAGTTGACCCTAAGTCAGGGACACCCCAATGCTTTTCCACGAAATCCGAAAAAACAGCTACCGATCGAAACGAGGAGTAGAAAAAGGAGGATTAAACGAGTCGAAAAAGAAACTAAGCAAAAAAGGGTGAGATTGATGAAAAGCATTAAAAAAATTTCCTTAAGAAAGTGGACTTACTTTGTAGACGTGGAATCCCACTGGTGTCTCTAGTGGTACGACAGCAAGAAACGGTACTGGTCCGTTGACAAATGCCGGCGGTTCATCAACGTCCTCGACTTCAATACGAAGGCCTTGGATACGAGCTAGAAGAGGTCGATTAAGACCATGAAATTCCTCTGTACAACATACTTTGCTTCCATCTTATGCTGAGCTCTGAGCTGTAAGCTGATATGCCGAGAAATTCCCATTTGATGTGAGCATGGTGAATTTATCACTACAATGACTTCAAACATTTTCTAACCTACTCTAAAAGCACAGTAGTCTGGTTGGAAGAGTTTAGTCCACTGTTTAAGTTCCAGTTCAAACTTGTAGTGAGTTCAATCTACCTATTAGGTTTCAATTTGAGGCTCTCCCTGTGTTCCTCCTGGTCCCTGACACTCCTGGCAGAACCGTTATTATAGGTAGACCCAACGTCGTTAACCCGGCACTGCCAATTACGATCTCTTGGTGAACCGCCGCTTAACAATGGAAATCCGTGTCGGAACGAGCATCTTTTAGATGGCCAATTAGGCAATTATCAAGAAACACCTGCGCGACATAATTGGCTTATGAAATTAGCCGCGTAAGGAGAGCGCTGACCAGCTAAACCCTTCGACTACGTTTAAACTGACTCTCCTGAGCTGATAAAGCAACTCAGAACAAACACCAAGTAAGAAGTGGGGAGAGTGATTGGCTAGGCTTGAATTTCTCAAAAAATCTCACATAAAGGAAACGGATGGGTTATTGTAATAAGGTCAGCCTTGGACCTAGCCCAGGACTTTGAAAACTTATTGAGCTCGACAGCAAGATAAGGCGAGCTCGTTTTAAGGAAGTGATTGGCGAATTCAAGCGCCAAAGAGATAAACCCAGAACAACTCATCAATTGATCCATTATACTATAATAGAAATGACGATTCCAAATTTTTCAACCGAAATAGGGAAGAATGGATAACTAATATAAACTCCAACCCATCAGTCCATCTCAGGAATCAATTTATTGATCTACTAGCTTTCCAGCGTCTTCTTATAACAGCTTCCCCCACCGCTTTTTTCATGCTTACTTCCCACTTTTCCAATACAACAGTCACCAAGGATTGTTTTCTGACCTCCATCAGGAGGCCGCACCCCAGCCACTTTTCCATTCTCCAATGCTTCTCTGTGTGGGCCGTCCTGGTTGCGCAATTCAAAGCGTTTCTGATTGATTCGACGTCGGAAAATCTCATAATGACCCCATATGGAACCACTGAGTGCTGCCCTTGTAATGACTACACCGCCATGCTCTTATTGGCTCCCAAGCAGTTGCAGCTAGCTTAGTGAGCCATCGAAAATGCACGAAGAACCTGATGGAAGCTTCTTTGGCAGTGTTTGTATTTTGACAGGGTATGAAAGCCCAGAATACAGATTTGAGGGAAGGCTGTATGTGCGCTCCCAGATTCTATTCCCTCCCTAGAATACAGGATTCGGTCATTTACGCGGTGTATCTTCAGTTAACACACACACATCTGGTCGCCCTAACGCTATCCATATGCTCGATTAGCACAGCCGAGAGCCACAATGCGACCCTATATAATGCCGAAGCGCCTTCGCAAAACAATTAAACTTCTGTAATGACCGTACCCCGCTGATTTGACAATGAACTCAGCTATTGTTCGATAGCCTAGCCGGCTACTGGTGCTCTGCGTGGCGCACATGTGGAGCTGGGGCAAGATTTCCATCACAATATGCAGAAAAAAAATGCCAGATGACCAAGTTTTTGCTGACTCGACAATGAGGCTCCGTTGGGTTAAAAAACTCCTCGCTTCCTCTCCGGAACTGAACCACACAAATGTTACCTGGTGTCACTTCGATGATGAACTTATAAATCCGATCAGTGCTAGTTGACTGCTCTGTCGAAATATATACAAAACAACAATTTTCTAATACTACCTGGGGAAAGACATTCGAAGATGGAAAGTCATTGAAGAAACCGTTGAAGGAAAAGTTTATTAATATGGAGTTATAATGCTTTGGCTTATATTTTAAGTAACATTTACTTGTTTACTTATTTACTACTGATTTACAGGCAACAAGCCAAATACAGACCGGGAGCCTGCCTTGGAAAGAATGATACCCAACGGAGGTGGAAAAACAAGCTCAACATGAAAGCCCTAACGTGTAGCGTTCTCTCGCCTCTCCCACTGGGACTAGTTCCCTAGAAAAAATCTATGAAGCTGCAGAAATTGATAACGAATTCCTTTAATTTCTTATTTATTCATCTAATTCAAACATGGAACACCATCGACATCATCAGGAGCGATTGCTAGGATTGAAAACCCCGCAATTCGCTACAATTCCACCCCAAACATCCCGAGTCCTCTTTTCAGGCCTTTATGTTCGGACAAGAAATATGGCCGAAGTCTACATATTCCCTCAAGTCACTCTATGCGCTTCGAAGTGGTGACACATCAGTCATCGTAAATTCCGAATGGTAGAGAGGGTAATGGTCCCCAGAGAGACCCACGTCGTCGTTGACCCGTCGATACTCATTATAATAGCTCGGATGGCTAGCCCTTGAGCTCCCACCACGACGGATTACCACATGCTGCTTTCGAGTGAGTACTAGGCTGTCCATTATCTATAAACAAATGAGTCTGTTATATTGGCTCGGATCGAGGGTTAAGGGGATTACGCAGCTCGTAAAAGTGAAGAGATCCTCTTCATTGGCGGAGCAAACGATCCCTGGTTTCCCCAAGTAATGAGGACTGCACAAGATATGCCAACAAATGTCTTCCCCGTTGCCGTTGCGCGGTCTTCCTCGGATGAGTAATGATTAGTCGAAAAGGGCAATCGACCAGAAACATTCCTCAGCAGACTAATTCCTTACTCGGTAACAACTGGCATCCAAATGTAGTTCTTTCAAAGCTCATCTTGGTCATCTCGACCTTATGAAAAGTGATACTTCCAGAAATTACGGAGAAGCTAAGCGTTGCAAATCGGGGTCTTTCTGTGCGAGATGGCATACCGCGATCTTAAGTTGCATTAAGTGCAAGCCAATCGATAATATATTATCGCCTGAATCATCAATCTAATCAAAAGGACCTTTTCTAAATAAATGCCATCCTCCACGTCTGTCAGAAGAAGAATGATCGTAAGCCAGAAAAGGGCAGCCGGGTAATTAAACGGGATTGCTAGTTCAGAATCTTTCCTTTTTTTCATAGAAGCAGGGCGCTTAGATAAATACAACAGTCATTGGCCAAAAGAGTGGATTACTTTCGCTTGTGCTCCCACATGAATTCGTGAAGCTAGAATCTATCAGGATTGCTATATTCCCGAGAGACCTCCAAAAAGTGAAGATGATTCATGATCTGCGTAACTTCCGTTCGAGGGAATGACAACATTTTACCCGATCATCAGCACACCCTCTTCCAAACAACGAGTACTCTTCCCTAGTTTTCGAACAGCGTGTCGTCGTTTTCACATTCAAGAAATTTGCTCCCGAGATCAGGTCATAATTGCCTGTTCCCTAGCTGACGAGTCGTCTTGTCCTCAGCCGCCACAATCGGTGTCCATGGCGACCTTTGTTGATTCAAGGTAATTCCATTCATATGACCACTGACATAGACTGATATCCGGTGACACGCACGCACGATTCAGCATATTGAACACCAGCTGACGAACGGAGATGTGGGAGCTTCCCCCGAAACCCCAGATGACCCACATCATTCCATGGGACATTACGGTCACTCTTACGGGGTAGCTCAAGAAGCCAAAAGGTTTGGGTAGGAGGGAAACCACGTAAGGTCGATAATCCGTCAATCGCTGCAGGTCAAGTGTATCACATCCGGAGGTGAACTGCCACTGCACACCCAAAACAAACAATAACTGTCTAATGTGGAAGGTTTTAAGCAGACATAAGCTTAGGTAAATGACCACGGCCGATGATTACTTAACCAAATAAGGAATAATCTGGTGGTCATATTTCATGGATTCAAAAATCAGTTCATAACAGAAGTTAGTTCAGAAGAACCCCTTACTTTTATTCGCATAAACTCGCAGATGAAAAACTTAATCTATTTCGAGAAACACCTGTCTCAAATAAGCAAGTTTCTCACTACCACTCAGATATCTGTAGTATTACGTAAATTGAGGAATCGCCTGCTAGGCCGCTCCAGTAGACGACTTTCTTCACCCCCGTGAGTCACCGGCAATAAATCCGCTATCCACGCATCCACTTATGCTCCTCCTCAATCTAGCGCCGAATTGTCAGCCCTCCGTTAATGAAACAGCACCTCCGAGCAGCCATAGGCGATTTCTAAATGCTCCTTCCTGCTGGAAAGCAGTAGCGATGGAGAAAGCTATAGAGATAGCGGAAAAGATTGAAGGCTTTCCGCGGCGAGACCATAAAGCCGTAGAAAAAACGTTGACGAAATGAGGTTGACCTAACGACTATGATATTAGGAAAAACTGTAGTAGTACTTCCCTTCTTAACTTAAGGTTTTTGACCTGATTTTGCCCAGATTGAGGGGTACCGAGTCCGGCGGAATTCTCCTGACCTGAAGCATAGTCAAGGGAGCAAGACCTTTTGTAAGTTATATTATGTACTTCTTTAGAATGAATAGCTTAAGTTCTGAAACACGGTATTAGTCCCAATTCGGAGGTTAATTTAGGAAATGTATCATTTCAAATACTGCCATTCTAGTTCAGAAATCGATATTCATTCCCGAGTCATGAAGTTCAGAATTCTCAAAGATTGCCCACAGAAGTTTGGCTTATCTATGACCGGTAGTCCTGCTCAAGTTTTTAGTGATTTTTGCTCTGCGTAATTGGTCATGGATCATCCATTTGTAGCCCAGAGATTTTTACTTCGGACTCAACAAAAATCTCTCTCCAATAATTAGATTGAGAGTTAGTCTCTGCACCGAACAGTGAGATCGCTCTGGAGTGCCAGCTCTCCCCTTCCCCACACTCGCTGTAGTTATGATCACCCGACCAGCCGGCACACTCGATTGCAATCCGGGAGCATATCCATTCAGCGTGGCGCAAATCAAATTCGTCGTCAAATAAAGTCATTCGTGATTTGTCTCTTAGTACTCCAGTAAACCAGCCAGTCAACCCCAAATGGAGACCAAATGGCTGTGCTCCAATCACCGGCCTAGGTCCCTGTAAACGGCTTAGTCGGGTATATTTTGGACAGCTGCCGTTTTTCAGATATCATTGATGCATCTAATCCCATTATACACATAAGAAGTATCTGCGCGTCTACAACGCCAAGCGGTCCCTCGTCGAGCGGTCGTTTGTACCAGTTGTCCTCCGTGTCACACATGCTATTTCTCAACGGTTACAGCAGATCTCCATATGGTGGCTACTTCGATGGCACAACAAGCGAACAAAAACGGCTGTATTCGATTTTTTGGTCTGCAGAAAGTTTCTCGGACACCGCTCTTCGAACACTCCGATATTCTTTCTAAGCCGGCTGCTCACTAAGGCATGCATACATAGATGGACAAGGCTGATAGCGACGGAATCCATCTATTCTGGAAGAACCCACACGATCCTCACACGTCTAGTGATTTGCGCGTGCCAGTGGTCCGTGAGAACGATCAGAGAACGATTTGACGAAGATGAAGATGAAATTGCGATGAGATGGTGACGTGATGAATTGCGCTTTTATTTCGCCGACTCAGCTCGATCTGCTCGATTCAGAGCCTTTCAACGTTGGCGCTGATTAGCATATGTCTAGGCCATTCATGCACAACATCGTACATTATCAATTATGGAGCCGTTCATAACCGTTGCACAAGCTGAAGGTACAGGACAATAGACCCAGTGGGGCAGTATTCCCATGCCATTTAGCGGCAGCTGTGAAACTGGAACACTTCCGAAAGACAATGGGCACATGCAGAGGAGGTAAAAGTAACATGAAAATTTGCAAGGAATGCGGTTGCGACGAAATTCTAAGATGATTTACTGAAATTCCACCTGATATATGCATTTAGGACTCTACATGTTTTCATTAGGGATATTGTAAAAGTATAATTAATTAATTAGTTTTCGACTATAAATGACATTGTAAAGGCATTTTTATGAGCGAAAATTCCCTATTGAATAAAATACTACTGAAAAATACTAGTTGGAGCCGTCAGTTGGCTATGTGGACAGCCATGATTACCTTGCGGTTTCTCAATGTAACGTGAAAGCAATAACCTTTACTAAATTTGGTTAAAGAATGTACAAGAGAACATTCGAGACTATTACAAGCACCGAAGCCCATCGCGATTACGGTAAGGCGGCCGAGTTTCACAGCGATTGGAATCCCAAGGTATCCTTACGATATAAAATCATGGAACATATTGCAAGCGAAAGCATCTTCTCTGAGGGGAAGGCAGAACTAACCAGCAAACAATTCGTTAATGTGTACTTGTTAATGCCATTAATGTTACTAACGTATTGTCACATACAGGACCATCAGTAGAGTTAAATCTGCAGATCGTATAACCAGGTAATCCGAAGTACCAGTGTATGGGTCTACCCAACTGTCTTCGATACTGCCCGCCGGTCTTGTGAATTGAGTATTCCAAGAAGCACATTTTATGAGAGGTTTTTAACTTTACTCATTAAACTCTCTCATTTCAACAGTATCGGATACCTTCACCAAGCCCTTTGTAGTCCTACCTGTCATTTCCCAGACAATACATTGAGCACTAAAAGTCCCTTAATTCAGTAACCTTTATCCTTATCCCAGGGTCATGACAGAATTGATGAGCACCCACCACTTGAGCCTGCGACGAGCTTGATTGGATTAATCAAGCCCATCCTTCGTGGGCACTCAAGCGGAAACTCATGGAACCTGAACGTCAGGAACGGCTTTGATTGTTTTAAACCAATCAGAATAAGGGTCGTAAGCTAAGCGTAGTTTTTACTCTCACCTCCTGACAGATCATTTCCCATCTCATTTCTGCCCCTCTCCCTTTCTATATAGTACTATTCGGGTGAGTGCCCATGCACGAGTCATCTCTCGTCATAAACGGGCTTGATGCCAGCAGATCTGACAGCTCTCGTCATTTTTAATGCACTCATGAAACGGGAATCCATTGCGCACCGGCGGCTAGCCATCCAGCCAGCCAACGCTGATCAATAGAAACGTCAATTAACTAGCGACGAAAAAAAACGCATAGTACATAAATTCGAGGCAGAGGAGTACAAGGACTCACATTTCCGTTTGCTGTCAATTTGTATGGATTCCGTAAGGTGGTGAATTTTTTCAAAGTTCAACGGTTTTGTCACTTTGACAGTACCATCCGACAATATGGAGTAGTGATCCCTCGTGATGGGAGCACCCACGATCACTTCACCGGCATAGAGCGGAATTCTCTGAAAAACAAGTTCGGTATTGTGAATTCAGATGAGAATTAATATAGGCGAATAGTTTAGTGCCACCTTGGGGAGGTCCGCCACAGAGTTTTCACGGAGCTTGATTATAATCGGATCTGATAGATGTCTTCTTAGCCGACTCGTGGAACTGATACCTGCTTCAACAATCCCTTCTTTCCCAACCACGACAACCACGGTAGCGGTAGATTCCTTTATAAAAATATATTTAGAGTGACGAGTTGTGACTAACAAATCCATGACTATGTAGCTTTCTCGAAGATGAAATCTGCTACACGTAAACAAGTAGTAGATATTTTCATACAAATTGAATCCGTGCTATCCTGGCACACGTAAAGTTCTCATCAAATATAATTATGATCGAGAGAAAAGCAGCAAAGAAAAGAATTCAAGAATGACGGGTAATCTATAAATCTTATTTCCATTCGTGAACCCTTAACCTAATTCCATCGGTTTTTTTCAAAATTTACTATATACAATGTATAGGCTTTGTTCTGATCGGAAAGTCTTCTTCGGATGATTCCTCTAGAGATGGTATGTTTAACTTCATACATTCGAAACAAGGAAAATTTCAAAATATATTATTTTCAGAGGAAGAAGGCTCGTCTACGAAGTAATTTCCTGGTGAATACGTTCCCTTTTTAACTATAAACAAAACTTCTGTTACCAAAACAGTGTATTTAATAACATCTGTTACCTGTCCGATCGAGTTCGCCGCTTTCACAACAAATTCATGTCTTCCTGGTGGGACAGAGGATTTTGTGAAAATGTCACCGGATAAAGGATCCACATCAAAGTACGAATTGTCATCGACCAGATGATATGATACTGTCGACTTCAGGGTTCTAAAAAGTAGTAGGTTCTTGCTGAGATAGTATTAACAATTGAAAATTATCAAATCAAATTTTTGGTTCCTTTTTCAATTCATATTTCAAAGCAACGATTGGTTACAATCCCCTCTTCCATTGTAGTGCATAATCAGCTCGAAGAGCAAATTGATGTTTTCCTGGAACCACGTCTGTCCATCTCGGGGTAACTGCTGGAGGATATCAGAATTAGCCGCAGTTATCGAAGCGGCGAGGCTTAATCTCATTGAGTATCGTGGACAGAACGCGCGAAAACAACATCGCCTCAGCTCATTCATTAGTGCCCACATGGACAGGCATGGAACGACGATCCTCAGACGGACATCATTAGATTGAAGAGCCTTTGGGCTGAGTGGGTTGTTGAAAAACGATAGTCTATACAAACGATACAATCCCCATTCAATTCCAAAACGCCGTGATCGTTGTAAACCCTTTTCCTATCAAAGACAGGCCACCAGATTTTTCGACACCACCTCCGCTTGCCTTCCCGATTGAAGATGTATCCTGAAACCAAGAAATTTACGCCGAAGGATTAAATCGGCGGTACCGCTCAGACCCAGTTGTGAGCTTTCACAAAGAAACCAACCAGCTTTCGCTAAGAAAACTGGTAGCAGGGTTTGAGGCTTCGGATGTTTCCACAACTACTTCTTTCGGATCGTTTGACAAAGCTCTACAGGATCTCGAACTCATCAAAGTGAACGACCTTAAAAATCAACAGCAGCGATTACACTACATTCTAAATCGCAAGTAGACCTTCGAATTCTCCTGCCGCCTGTTTCGATCAACTCTGGACACGAGGATTCCGAAAGCTTAGCCAACAAGAACTGTTCAACAGCAATATCCGTCTGAAAACCCATGAACGAACACTGTTGTCCCCTACAAATCAACTTTTCGTTATCTGTATGACCGAAGTAGCCTCCGCTCAGTGATTATGCAGTAGAACGTATGGATTGCTTCTTTCTTCTCGAGAAATTGCTCCCCGAAGACATTACGTATGTGTTTGTGCACGAAGAGAAATGGGCCAACGGAATTCGAAATGAACGTTTTCAGTGGGTGAGAACGAGGACAAGGAACGATGGCAAAAAATCCTGGTCCTGACGTTCCAACTAGTCTCTTTCACAAAGAACCATGATACGACGACGATGATATTTGCCGAAAATGTTAACGAGCTGCGAAGGAGGTTTGAACAGTGAATAGGCTATTAGGTAGCGGGTGGAGGTACAGTAGGCCGTAAAATACCGTATTAATTCCAAGCGAGGAGTTATATGCGGTGCATTTGCATGGTCTATTTTGATTTTCTCCCAACCTCGTAATACAAACTAAGCTGGTCAAGACCAACAAAACCAGTAAGACTTCGTCTTGGAATTTGTCAAGGTGGGAAACAAAACAGCAAGCAATGAAGGAAAATCCAAAAATGTTAGAAGAAACCATATTCGAAAAACCAAAACCAACAAACAAAAAGTGAATAGAGAAGGAACGTCTCATGGAAAAAAATTGAATAGAAAAACCCAGATGTTAATTATGAAAAAAATTACCTGGCGTGTACACGCATCACATTGAAATGAGCTTTCAACAGAGGAAGAGCAGTGAAATAATGTGATACGTCAAACTTTGGTGGTACCATAGTGATTGCTTGCAGTTTAATCGTCACTTTACAGCTCGCCAGTTGGTTTCCATTGGGATCAAACGCTCCCAGATAGAACTCCATCACCTCGGCTTCTTTCTCTGCTGACAGTGGCCGAGTAATTTGGATCTGGCGAGTATGGGACCATTAGAGAGTTCAAGGACATAAAAGCGAAGTAGCTAACCTGTGCAAATCCCCGTCCTCGTGAATCTTCTTTGTTAATGATGGTGATAGGGAAGCCGTCTATTGAGGAAATCGGTGCGAAGCGAAGCCCTTGCTGCTTTGGTGGTAATCCTTTGATCGTGATCGGCGACGAGAACAATAATATGGTACCGTTCTCCATATTAGTGGATACACTTGCTTGGTAATGATCTTGAAGGAATTCGAAAGGGCTGGAAACGCTAATGGTAAGTGTCTTTATTTTAAGGCCTCCAACAGAAAATATCAAAAAAAAAACAGTATTAGAGTATGTAAGGAGAATAAGAAAAACAAAGCGTTCATAGCAAATTAGTCTGATCGGAAGAAAAGTTAATGACACACCTTTCAACAATCTCAACATGAACAGTGATGATCCGATGGTGCTTCTCGTGCTTAGCCATGACATACAGCGGAAAACGAGTACCAGCAGGTGGTAACTCACCAGCAGTTACTAGCTGGAAGAAGAATTATGATTCTTGAGAACCTCATCTTCTATTTCTGTTGATCGTTTCTCGAAATAAATACCTGGCCGATGTCATTGATGGTGAAACTTTTGGAATGGGGCGACGGTAGAAGTTGAAGTCGTTCCCCATCTGTAGCCAACAGAGACTGCTTAAGATCGACCGTCAGCCACCCGACGGGTACATCGTGCCTCAACGAGAACGGAGGTCGCTGAAAGAGAAATATCATAAATTTATTCAATTACTGATACATAAATATGCCGTAAAATAATATATTATAGTCCTGGAGCTTTGAATTGAATCAGAGATTCAATTCAAAGCTCTAGAACTTTTCAGTAGATTTCAATCCCAATTCATGATTTCAAACTCAGACCGATTAATCTTGCTACTTCATACTCCGTTTTACCGACCTATGTAGCTCATTGCAGAACAGTTGTATCGACTTTCACATAAAAATAGCCCCATCAAATCGAGACTGAGACTTTTCGTGAAATGAGCTCGAAGGAAATGATATTGGGATGGGATGATAATGGAATTAAGGGAATCCATTTGCAAAGGATACTATCTCTAGCTGGAACTAAAGTGCATGTAATGTATAGCTAATTATCGTTGCTAACTTAATTAGTGACTCGGATGCTTTGAAGAATGAAAGCTTCTCATGCGAGAACACATCCATATTTCATGAGAAATCAAAGACGAATTATAAAGAGCCATTCCCGATACCCTTCCTATTTTTGGCTCTTGCTGATTTCGGAGTAGCAGGCCCCTTACCATTCATTTCGCCTAGGCATTCCCTGACTAACAGTCCGTTCGCCAGCCAACGCTATGTCTTGCTTAATTTCCGAAAAAGCACAGCTTTTTCTTCCTTGCAAAGAATACGACGATGTTCGAAGGATGAAGGCAGTAATCTTTCGAACGCAAGCATCGGTGGTTCAGTGGTAGAATGCTCGCCTGCCACGCGGGCGGCCCGGGTTCGATTCCCGGCCGATGCAATCCTTTTGCAATCATGCTCTACTCTCGATGAATCTTGGCATAGCTTTGCATTAACTTTGTTTAGCGGCGGTCGACCAAACGACCGGTTGTTCCAAAGGCTCTAAAGAAGGCGATTACGCCGAAACGTCAGTTGATAAGAACTTATTTAACATCTTGACAGCAGGTTTTAAAAAAGTCTCATAACAATCCTCTTGCGTTCTGTCTGCAGTTGCATTTTGTCGGAAGCTCTTGTAAACCGAATTACGATTTTTCATTGAATTTTTAGGTTGATGCAAGAGTTTGATGCATTTCGGTGCATTTCTCAGATCCTCATTTTTTTGAATCTCACTACTCAAACTACATAATCACCAGCATTACCTACGACATTCATCCATTAAGCGGGCATGACGCCTACTCGTTTTCACAAAAAGAGGAGGACTGTAAGTCAAGAATTCAACCACAGTTGTTTTTTTAAGTAATCAAAAGTAGTGAATAGGGAGGCTGGGAAACGGTTTTAGCCTTGTTCCTGTAACCTTGACTGCGTGAACTTGCGACGTGGACGACGAGCATAATTTTACCAAAAATGTACAGCAAAGCATCTCGGTCGTTTTGTTGCTATTCCTTGAGCGAGCTCTTGGAGCTGATTTCTGTGGACGGCAAATATGACTGTATGGTTTCAGGAGCATCACAGCGAAACCTTCTCCGGGGGCTGTTCTGGCATAGGTTGCACTGTATCCTTTTTGAAGCCAGACAGTGACCGATTCGTTGCTGCCATAGAGAATCCAACTTTTATCTTCTAACAGTCACCTAGATGACTAGTCCCTCTCCGAATGCAGGGCTGATTTTGGAGGCAGCAGAACGAGCACAGCAGCCGCGGCGCTATCTGTGGAGGACGATTGCCGGAAGTTGATCTGCCGACAACTGCTACATGGTTTACAAGAGATGCGTTTGGGGGGATATCTGTGTAGTGAACGAGTGCGGTAGAAACTCCTACTTTCCCACTTAGATGAATGTTTCTATATAAAAAATGCAGGACTTGCAACAGCCTGCGGAAACATTGACGTTGTCGGTCTTCTTCTCAACGTTTGAAGAAATCTCAACGAGACGAACATAAATATAAAGCCTTGTTATGCGTCTTATTGCGTCTCATTCTCTATCGATCCCATCGAATTAAGGCACTTCACCGAGTACTTATTCCAAGGTGTTCCCTCATCCTTCTATCCAAATAAATGCCCTTAGCGTATGATGCGTAATGAACACACACACACATAGACACACACGTATACGGGGCCTTGGCATCGATTCAATGGCCTCTAGCAGCGGCTAATTCACATGGAATACACGCCTCTTGGAAACAAAATGAATTGCTTAATGGCACGCACAACAGCTCGTGCACGTACCGCCGATGGGGACGTCGCATGACTTTGGTATATCATGAACGCCAAGAATAATCTTGGGTTGAGGCTTGAGGAAATCATGCCTTTAGAACTTGACTGCCTTCGAAGGATTCCACATACACTTCCCATGCTAATTTGTCCATACGCTGCTCGCATCATCGATCATAAGGTAATGTGCATATAGCTCCAAGACGAACTCTTTTTCGGTGATGTCATCATATGTTCTCTAGATATATGGGCTTTGCTACGACTTGAGGTGGGTCTGATCCAAGGAGGCGCGAGTACTGTGGCATGCTTGATATTGCAATGTCACCATTTGGACAAGCCAAAAATTAACATTTTGCGAGCAACTGTACTCCAGGCAAGTGGTAGTAAATCTCCATTCCAAATTTTGCATCAAATAACAAGGAAAAATCGGAAATCGTAGTAATTCGTTTTCTGTTGAGTGCATTACATCCTTTTCCTGAGGAGAACCTGAACCATATGTGCACGTTTAACTTGCACCTCATCAGTCCTGACTGCACCGTTACTCAATTACGTTGATTGAGGAACAGGGCAATCTTCAACGACCATCGTCAGTCAAAAACCATCTACATCTCATCCATCATCGAAAACCATTGCCTAGACGACGTCAGCGCTCCCACACGGCCAATGCCGCTTCCGTCGTACGCTGTCTGCCATCTCGTGTTGTCTTCAGCGTAATTTAATATCGGCTAGCAATATGTGCGATACGTACGCATGTGTCCAGTCGTCAAGTATTTTGGGCATTCGCGACAGCCTGCCATCCATGAGCCCTAAAGTGACCCTTCAACGGGTTGCCAACACATATAAAAGCCTCCGGGCACGGATTCAGCTGGGAAGATTGCCACTGCACTAGGGATGAGAATCGTTTCCGTAAAGGGCTTCGGAGAGGGGTACGTATTGAATTCTAAGTACGAATAAGACGGAAATTACTGACCATAAAAGATTTAATGAGATGGATCAAGAAGGGCAATGTATGTATGTAGGCAAGGTTGGTCGAAGATATAGATGCCGTTATGGAGAAAATGTGGAATGATGGAGTTACAAGCCTCAGTAGAGAACCATTGAAAGGTGATTTTCGATTGACCATTCGAGTTCTAGGGAAGAGACTCACCTCATCTCTACTACCACTCTCAACTTGAACTACTCTACTGACCTGAAAGCTCAATAGGATCCTTTCTTCTAAATTACCACTTCGGAATCCTCCCTCCTCTGCCCTCCTTTTCACACTGTACTCAAGCGATGAAAACTGGCTGCGGATATTATCCGAGCTGGTCAGTGTCTATTAGGAACTAAATCGTTTAGCATACTCATTACTACCCAGCTAGCCGTTCCAGAACTTTGCTCTCCGTGTGAGTTTGTTTACTCGGATGAATTACTTCGGCGCCTGAGGAGTTGAATTGAAGCATTTGTTGCATAGAAGGTGGACACAAAGACCACTCATGAGCCGTCGGCCAAATCTCTCTAGCCACATCCATATAGTCCTGGATAGCTTGTCTAGTGACCCTTCGACGCCTCACATTGGCACCGACCTTGTCGCACGAGCCGATAATAACACAATGAAGAAAATCAAGTGCCCCTCGTGCAACCATCAATTACAGGAACTCAATGATGGGCACCATATAATCGATTCGGGGTTGACGAATCGATGATCATTATGATGACCAGGTATAGAGAGAGTTTCCGATGCAGACAATTACCCCCTTACTGATCCAACTTCGAAATAAATCTCGTTCAAACAAATATCTGGTCAGGAACCGAAGATGAGAGATAAAATCCGTTACTATTGCAGCTTTTTGGCAAATGTTTGGTCAATCCCGTTCTCATCGCGACGAATACTTCTAACCATGCCCGCTTTCTCATTTGACACCATTATAATGAGTCAGAGGGGTTAGAGTTGTAAACGGAGACCGAAACAATACGGATGACGGCTGAACAGCTCAGCTCACAATAGTGGCTCGAAGGTAGTATTGTATAGACGACCGTTGGCGGTTTCTTTTGACCATGGACGAGTTCTCATGTTGCCGATGATGCAACACTTCAATACAAAGGCATGAGATGCGCAGAGTGAAAGGGGTAAAATTTATTACCAAATTCTGATGTGGTCGAAAGGTTTTAGTGCCGAATGGTAAGCCAATTCGCATCAGAGAATTTTTACAAATTTCAAATTTCGAAGAGATCTCTTACTTTTCCAACATTTTTGGGCCCGATTATTTCGTCAATTCAATGCACAGAAAGACAGCCGTCTACTTCTGAGCCACCCCTCATTATGTGCCTAGCCAAAGGCTCATTTATTACGTGCGCTACAATGGCTGATGTGGTTTCGGCCGTAATCTCAAAAAAAAGATAATACGCCTATTCATAAGCTTTAGCTGCAACCTCCGGGTTCTTATTTCATTCCCGATTTCGAAAATCGCCATATTCGACTTCTAAGGAGACGCGAGGCTCAGCTTATCCCAGCTCAGCACCCTTGCCAACTCTTAGTTCATATAACCACGCAAAATACTTGAACTGACTTCCTGATATGGCTACCAGGGTAAGTGAATGTAACATTCACGACTTATTCCTGGAGTTATGACGGCAACTTAAATTTGGTGAGTTGAAGGTGAAAAATGAAACAATGAGTTTTCGGGAACAATTTCGCCAAACAGACTGATAAATCGGTACCCTTTGAAGAAAATAAGAACGAAACCGAATCTATAGTATGGAATTACAATAGCCTTAGTTTT